ACTGGAGGAAAAACGGAAGTGCGGAGGCCGTGCGACGACAATTTTCGGGAGTGTTTTTTTCTTTCCCGTAGTCGTCCTCCGTCACATCGCCTTTGGAACTCTTGGTGTGTGACTGTGCGAAGATTTAAAGAGAGAATTGCCCAGCATCGGTAACCTTCTCTTGTCGACGAATGATCCCTCGCTCCTGACTGACAATGCGATGGAAGCAGCTTCGAACCGGCTACGCTCTTTGCCAGGCACACATATACTGTGAGACGGGAGTATTGGCGAACAAAACAGGAAGGGCATGGAAACGGAGGCATGCGAGAGCCATGTGTCTAAAGGTACGATACCTGCGCCGGTGCGGGTAGCAACGTCTATCGATGTTCCTCAGTTGCCATAATAGACCATCGGCTTCACCATAGGATAGCGCCTCAAGACTGCAAACGAGTATTATCGAGCATACTAAATCTGCGCTCTTTCGTTCCTCCTCTGATACAAGCGATGCTGAAATGCCGATTGAGACTGCGTGATTATCAAACGTGTGTGGTGGCATGATGACCTGAAATGATATCGGCGGGCCCTTTACGCGGCTCACTCCCGGCCGCCGGTGGAGCGGACCTGGTGCGCCCCGACCACCGGCTAGGACGCTATAGCCTTCTTCCTCTTCTTGTTCTCTTCTTCGTCCTTCTGCCATGTTCAGCCCAGACCTCCCGCACCTCGAAACAATGGCCAACATCCTCAGCAAACCCCTCGCCATGATCACAACGACCACTGTCTCCGTCCTCTCCCTTCTCGCGGCCGCTGCGGCCAGCGTCTCCCTCTCCACCCGCCCCGGGCTGAAGAAGGCTCGACTGGCGCTGCATCTCGGCGTGTACGTGGGCACGTTGGCGGTGTGTTCGTGTTTGGGGGTGGTGTATAGTGTTGTGCTTACTGTTCTGGGGCAGGTGAGTGGGAGTTTGGCTAGTGGAGGAGACTTGTTGAGCGGGGCGAGGAGTGCTGACCTGCGCCGTCGGGCGGACCTTGTAGCGACTCAACATCAATTACCTTACTGCACGCTCGTTTTACTACCTTTGCTCACCGTTGGTCGGGGTCAAAATCGAAGTGGAAGGAAGAGAGTATTTGGACGAGGTGTTGAACAAGGCCAAGCGCGGGGAGAAGGGTGGAAGTGCGGTCTTGGTGGGGAATCATCAGAGGTGAGTTTACGGCAACGGCAAGTTTCGAGGAAAGGGTTGTCAACGGCACAGGTATCACGCAAGAAGGGAGGGAGGAAGTGAGGGGGTAATCAGAAGGAGGATCATCCTGTGGCTGGCGTAGGGCAGCTGGAGGTAACCCCAAGCGGCGTCGCATTTGACTGTGCAGCATGGGGAGTACAACTTCCGATCGCTCTCAACCGCCAATATCCTACGACCAGTGACAGAGACAGCCGAACCGAGGGAATAAGCCGCTCGAAAGCTGCACCGCCGGTTTTGCTTTCGCTTCCGCGCATTGGGTAGCCGATGGTGAGCTATATGCCACGGATCACGGAAAACCAGCAGGCGGCGTTTGAAAGAAGACCGATAGGGAACGAAGACTGTCCGAGTGAGATGTCCGCGGCGTACAACTCTTCTTCTCAACCACCCGACGCCAGTGCCCCTCCACCGGTACTGATCCAGGTCGCTATTTTACCTCTTGATACAGCTTCATGGACATCCTCTACCTCGGTCGAATCTTTCCGAAACGAGCTTCCATCATGGCCAAGCAGGAACTCAAGTGGATGCCTCTGTTGGGATGGTTCAGTGCGTCTCCCTTTCCCTCTCTTTCATCCCTATTCCGCGGCGGAAAGCTTATTTTTCGTTGCTGCGTGGTGTGCGTGCCGCGCAGTGAGCTTGTCCGGCGCAGTGTTTGTGGATCGGAAGAACAATAAAGATGCAGTCAAGGCGATGAATGCCGCTGGGGAAGCGATGAAACGACAGGGTGTGAGTCCGCGCGGCAGGAGGACGTGGTACACGGCAGAGAATGAATGCGCGCTTACGAATGTCACCCTGTCGCGCATAGGTCTCCCTCTGGATCTTCCCTGAAGGTACGAGAAGCTCCAAACCCGAACCTGGCTTGTTGCCGTTCAAGAAGGGCGCGTTCCATCTCGCGATTCAAGGTACGTTCACACGTTTCTTCCTCCAACCGACTCCGAGTTAGCTAGGTATTTGATCCTCGGTTTGTCAACGCTTGTAGCGTCGGTCCCGATCGTTCCGGTTGTCTGTGAGAGCTATCATCGTCTGTTTGACGGGAAAACACGGATGGAGCGGGGTGTCCTGAAAATTCGAGGCGAGTCTCTTCCTCGCGTTGTTCCCTATCTCTTCTTATATTGGATGACCTAACCTACTTTGTGCTATCTCGCGTAGTGCTACCACCGATCTCGACGGAGGGTATGACTGCGGCCGATGTCCATTCCCTCACAAATGACGTGCGGCAAAAGATGCTACATGCACTCCGAGAAATCTCCACGCCGAGTCCTGAAGCCACCGTCGCGCGGACTGTCGACGACGGCGAAGGCCAATCGGAGGAGGGCGAGGAAGAACCATTACTTGGTCGTCCATCTGGGACATATACCGCCGCCGCTTCGGGGGAGGCCAATGTCCGGCGCCGCGCCTCAAAGACAGGCGAGGAATTATCGTCGCCCCGCTCACCATCGTCATCGTCGTCGTCGTCGGTTGCGAAGGAGGGAGACAACCTCACGGAGACAGGGACGATGGATGCACGCCAACTCATGAAGGACGTCAAGGATACCGCTAAAGAGGCTGTTACTGCTAGCAGCGGGGAAGAGGAGGACGAGGTGGACGAAGATGGAGCCGTGTTTGTGAATAAGCCGAATTAGGCGGTGGCCGCGGCGGTCGGAGATGGCAGAGAGGAGGTGGGGAGGGGTGAGGTGTGGGTAACGCCGGGGCCCAGGTTGCCCGGTGGATAGATCTTGTAGCCCAGGTTCGTTCGTTTGTTGGTGAAAAGGACATTCCCGAGACTATGCTATACGCAATGCTTTATGATGACCTCGCATGTAGGAAGGGACGCGCGCAGAAGTCGGCCGCGGCTCGGTGTCTGTTGCAGGAAGAAGTCGAAGAAGAAAGGAATATGAGGGATTCCCGGAATTTGCCATTCATGACGCGCGGTGACGTCACTGCGGCCAAGCTAGGAAAAAGCAGTTTCTACGCAAAACGCCAAGCTTTTGCGGGTGGCGGGGATTATATAGCAGCGGCGCTGCCTGGATATCGGGTCCGAGGGCTTCCCTCCGACAGAACCACCACCACCATGGGAATTACCAGCACATCCACGTCCGCCGTCCGGCGCTTCGCACTCCCCGCCGCCATCGTCGCCGCGAGCCTCATTCCGCAGGGCGTGAATGCGCAGTACGGGTACCCGTATGGTTATCGTAGGCGGAGAGGCTGGAATAACGTTTATATTGCGGCGATTGTGATCCGTGAGTCTCTCTTTCGTTTTGCGTGATCTTGATGTTTGGTCTTGTAGGCGTTGGGTGATGTGTAGTTGAATGCTCGGAGGTGGCTTGGGTGGCTAGGTGGAGTGTGTGACGTGCGGGCATTAGCAGGAGGAGATGGAGGGGGGACGGGATGCCTCTTCCCCGGAGTGGATTCCACTTTGGATCAATGCCGTTTAGGGGCGCCGCGGGTGATGAGGCGTTATCGACAACATGGTGCAGTTCACCAGCACGATGCACAGACAGGCGCGCGACTGATCTGGAAGAGTGGAGGATAGATGGAAGTGAATGATCGCTCGTCCGGCTCCTCTTTCACGTCATCGGCTTCAAATCCCCATCTCCACAACCGTTCACTCACACGCTCCCCTCCCTTGTCTTCCTCACAGCGATCGCGTTCTTCCTCATCGTTGCCCTCCTCTGGCTCTGCGTATTCCGCGCAATCTTCCGTCGAAGGAGAGAACGCCAGTCAAACACCGTCTTACCGGTCGCTTCTAACACCAATAACGGGTACTATCCTTCTGCTGATGGGTACAACAGCACCAACGGCTACACCGGGACCACGGGATACGGCAACACGAACACATACACAGGCGGGCAAGGAGGCGCCGCATCGAGTTACTACAATAATGAGACCCCGCAAATGGGCGAAGCGTACACCAAGCCTCCGCAGGCAGCGTACCATCCCTCTGGCAATGGCGGACAGGCGGGAGGAGACTATTATGCGCCACCTTCAGGTGCACCACCGTCTTCTGGCTATGGTGGCGGGTACCAGCCTCCGTCTGGTGCACCGCCGACAGGGTACTCACGATGAGCGTGTGAGCTGCGGTTAGTGTGGATGATGGTGAGAGACTGAGGGAGGGAAGGAGAGACGTTATTCTGTAGCTTATTCTTGCATCGAATTCGGAAACACGTATCATGTATCGATAGTCACTTTGCCTTTGGCGTATCATATAATAATCATTTCGCGCGAATGGTATCTTGATTGCAGGATGGACTTGGCCGTCCGTTTCTTTGTGCTTTGGTCACGTTCAGCTTGTGATAGCTGTGTCGATACACTGTACTCAGGGCACATATGGGTGGACAAGAACCGCACTGGACAATCAAGCGAAGACCGCCATACTGCCAACCTCCGGTTTATGCGTACTATGCTGTCCATAGATCCGTATCCGACATCCACAAACCAAGAAAGATCGCCGAGATCGGCATGTTATGACATACCGACACGTCGGTGCGGGTACTTGCAGGATACGGTATCACCCACATCTGTGTTGGCATATAGGATATATCTGTACATGCGCTCCTTGGGGAAGAAGAACTTCGGAATGTGTTGCTAGATAGAAAGGTACACTGGAGAAGCGTATCGAGAACTCTTTATGCAGTGCGCATCTTCCTGTAGGTTTGGCCTTCCTGGCTTTTAATAGCGGAATAGCCTAAGATTTGATGACACCCATACGAAAGACGGATAGGGGTATGTCGAGTAAAATATTGCAAAAGTAGTCCCCCGTCACCCCACAGACTTGTTACAAGGTTAGGACTCAAAATTCGATATCGTGCCTGCCACATAGTGTAGCGGTTAGCACCTTCGGTTTTGATCATCTCGATTCATATCCGAATAACTCGGGTTCGAATCCCGATGAGGCATTTTTGTCTTTTTGAGGAGCGAATGATCCAATAGCGTCCCTTACATCGCTCCTTCTTGTTATATTGACATATTGCGCAGAACATTTTGGTGATGATGGTGAAATAACGGTTGAGGTGGATAAAAGCAACTGGCAAGAAGACATCGCATAGAACAGGTGGACGAGTGCGCGGCCGCATTGGGCGGAGAACACGTGTTAAGAACTCATACTGTCTTGACGGGTATGCTATACCGTAAGATGGAATATGTCTTAATACAACGTTATAAACTATCTTACAGTTGTGGATCGCAGTGCAGGTATCCAAGAACATCGAACGAGCTAGGTAAGAAGGTTTTGGATTCCCGACCTCGTCGAGTGATGGACTGGCCGACTTGAGGGAGAACACCGCTGAGGACAACACTTTGGATATTCTCAAGATCCAGCCGCTCCCATCGGAGTTTGTCCTCTTCCGGAAAAGCTGAGTAATCCGCAATCTTCTCCAGATCGTCACTCATTATAGTCTGCATCGGATCGGTGACTGCAGGTATAAGTGCAAACCAGCCATTCGTTGCAAAGCTCCGCATTACATCTCGTCGGCACTTCCACTTACTCTCTGTAACCTCCTCTAACGTTGTCTGTTGATTTATCCACTAAGCCGCACCCTCTTCCGACATCAAGACGGGATGCCCGACAAACACTCAACAAGACAACGATATCGTGGAAGGAGCTGGTGTATGCGGTTGCAGAAAGTATGATATGCCCGCTGCTCTTTCCACAGGATAAGTATCAGCGGCTGCTTGCTGCGAGACGCGCTACGCCAACACTCTCGCGGCTTTTACTTGTTTCTGCCTATCAGTTGTTTGCTGGTAATCAATTGTACAATATTTGCGCAACCTTTGCCGAACATTTGTACAGTCCTTTGCTCAACACTTGTGTAACATCTGCACAACATTTGAGCAACCGGTGATCCAACGACTTGAACTCTTCTTTACAAAACAGTTGTGGTAAACCAGTCTTCGCTACTGTAGAGAAACGACCTACTTGTACCATTTTTGGCAGCTCTAATACGAAAACCTTCATACACGTCATATTCAATCACGATATTATAAACACTTCAGCCAAACGTCAACACCGTGATGGTCACCACCTGAACGCCAACAATTGATCATCAGCA